ACATTCCAACGGTTGGATCTCAAGATATTCCATTAGCCCCGGAGCCACTCGAAAACGGCCAGCAAGTCACGCGACCGCGGCCAACAGCCCATTCCCCGCGGTCACAAGCCTCCCGACCGCGGCCAGCCACCTATTTCCCGCGGTCACGTCATTCCCGACCGCGGCCGACCAACTCCGAATTAAAGCCCACATCTCTGAAGCCCAAAGTCATCTTAGCCTCAATTCCGGAACCCTAGAGACCATGGAGTATTGAAGACTATAAATACTTGTCATTTATGTCGTTTTTAGACACCACCCTTTATACTTTACAGAAACCCTTTTCCTTTAGCCGTTTTTATGCGATTTTTGTAGAAGATTGTTCAAGTCTGAGTTCTTCAATAGAGAAGCTTTCTTTCATCTCTTTTCTTTACTGTTTTTGATTACTTTTATTAAAATCAATGATGATGTCGACCTCAGCTATGTCTGAGTAGATCCCGAGTTGGGCTTAGGGTTCCCGAAAGGGGCTCTCATAATCGATTAAGACATCTAGGTTTATAGATCTGGGATTTTAACTTTGTTCTCTGTTTATTCTCGTTCTTATTGCATGTATGCTTGATTGATCACCTAGTATCTGATCTAGATAGTTAGTGTTACGAAAATTTTCATTAAGTATCAGATCTAGAATGAAACAGGCGATTTTTCCGTAGGAGAGGAAACCTATCTGCGGCGAGATCGTGAGTATTGACGAGTCTTGTGCAGCTCTTGCGTTCTCTCCCTTCCAGGGCCAGAGTGGAAACCTACTGGCCAGGGTTGCGAGAAACAGTTGGTTATGATCACGACAGTGACGTAGTCATACCGCCGTACTCTCGCTCTAGAACCCTATATATTGATATCCGTCAATCCCAATCTATCTATCCTAGTGTTAAAACCGAGTATGATCCCTGTAGAGTTCCCGAAAGCTCAGCGTTTTTAGCCATAGTTTACAAACCAATCGATTTTTACTTGCTTATTTAGATCTGCATTTCAATTGCTTTAGTTTGATATTTTGCTTGTTTTATTTCCTTTCTATTCGATTTTTCTACTTGTTTTCTAGGATATATTTATTTGCTTTCTTTAGTTTTAGTTTAGTCCGTGACAAACAACCAACCTCTAAAACCAATTTAGTCTAGACATAAAGTTAAAAACCGTAGAAGAATACCAGTCACACAAATCCCTGTGGATTCGATCTCTAAATACTACAACTGATTAGCTGTGCACTTGCGGCTTTCATTTGTTTTTGTTAAGGATAAAACTTGTTCCCTCACGCAGTTGACACGCATCATATCCCAACATTGCTGATAGAATCGAGCTGTTAGTCCATCTGGGCCTGGAGTCTTATCAGCACCAATGGCATCAAGAGCATCCTTGATTTCTTTATTTGTAATCTCTTTTATAAGAGATTCATTCATTGTAGCACTGACTGATGACTGGAAACTAGCAAAGATATCGCAGTTTGCCGTAGTTTGAGATTTCTTATATACACTAGTGAAGAAACGTTCTGCATGTTTACCGACCTCAAGGTCACCTTTATAGACGTTTCCTTCTTCATCTTTGATGGCCAAAATTCTGTTTGTGGAATACCTAGACTTCGTGCAGGCCTGGTAAAATTTTGTATTGCGATCACCTTCTGTTATCCATGTGTTTCGACTCTTTAATTTCCAATGTCTCTTTGTCGTTATAAGCTTTGGCGAGATCATGTTGTATTGCCTGAATATCTTCATGAGTCGTACTCCTTAATGAGAGAGCAAATTCCAATTCAATTTCCAATTGCTCAATTCTTTTTGCAGCATTAAGCTTTGAATTAATTCGACAAAAAGCCATAGATTTCCTACATTCCCTAATTCGGTCAGTTAAAGAAGGGTTGCAGGGTAGATTTCTTGAGTTCCAGCCTTTGCTCACATAATGCTTGAAGTCCTTAACTTGTAGTAATCTTTTGTCAAAACGAAAGGATTTCTTAACGTTGTCTTCCATAAAAGCAATCTTTGTTAAAACCGGTCTATGATCTGAGCCGTAAAGGCCTAAAAACTCTGCTTCTGATGCCGGGAAAGCAGCTTCTATTTCAGAATTGACAATAACTCTGTCAAGGCAACACTTAACAATGTGTTTTATTCTTTTTCCAACCCAAGAGAAACGATTTCCACTAGACTTCATATCTGTAAAGTCACAGGTACTATACAGATTTCAAAATCATAAAATGAACTTTCATCTCTTTGAGGACCACCTTCCTTTTCATTATTGGAGAGTATTTCATTGAAATCTCCAATTAATAACCAAGGTCCTTGTCTTGTTTGCTTGATATCTTTTATTCTATTCCAGAGTTCATTCCTATGTTCAACACAAGACAAATAAAAACACATACCATTAAACTTAAGAGACCTATCCATCATTCTTACATCCTCCCCTAATCTAGATTAGGAAATATTTTGCTATATAAACCTATGTAACCTAAAGCTTATTGGCATGAGAATAAATAACACTTCTTCCAATCTTAAACTCTCATCAAACTTATCATGGTATCAGAGCCTTCGATCCTAGTGGATCGGAGTTGAAGCTTCCATATAAGAAATCTCGTGATCAAAGAAGAGTTGATGGTGATTACGATGACCGTTGGAGAAGTAGGTGACGACGACGATGAAGATGGTGTACGTCGAAGATTTTGAAGATTCTCGTCCAGACGTGATAAAGTCACATGAAGTGGCTGAGAAGACATTGTGGCACCGGCATATTAATTTGCCGCAACGAAGAACCTTGGAGCCATTATCGCTCAGGTTTAATCCGATGATGAGCAGATCCAATGAAAGACAGAGAGTCATGGTGTGTTGTCAACGATACGGAAGACATCGTCTTGGTGACTTGTGAAAGTCGATCGAAGATGGAGCCTATCGGTGGCTTGTTTTGTTGATGTGGTCAGTGATTGGTCACGTTACTTGGAGCGCAAGAATTATGAAGCACACAATTGTGCTTGGCTTTTCTTTACTGGTGGAGGTGAATTGATTTCACTGGTTTTTACTTAACCGTGAGCCAAACTATTATAATACGAAAGTTGGTTTGCTCACACGATCTTCAATGATGAAGATGGTTATTTTTTGGTGGAAATATGAAGATGTGTATTTTCCAATCGATTTACCGTATGGCTGGGTTTACAAGCCATTGAAAAACCTTACAAGAGGGTATAAATGTCGATTACCTGACGGCCAGGTGTTGCAGCCGATTTGACCCTATGACCGGATATAAACGTAAACAACTGGGTATAAAGCCGATATTTTGAAGATTTGTCCAAGCTCACACGTGTTACCACGTATGAGCTTGCGGGAGGGTATTGGGAGATAACCAGCCGGAGATTTACGAGATCAAACAGTGATGGAAATAATGAAAATCTGATTAGAGAAGAATCAAGAGAGTTTATTAATATTGAATATATTGTATAATTATTATTTAGACATTTATAGATTCATATCAATCTAGATTAGGAAATATTTTGCTATATAAACCTATGTAACCTAAAGCTTATTGGCATGAGAGTAAATAACACTTACTTCCAATCTTAAACTCTCATCAAACTTATCACCAAATTTTCATGGCATCCTTTTTCAATTTATTATGAGATCATTGCACATACTTATTCAAATTTCATAAGTTTTTAACACTATTTTAAAGTGCTATAAGAAAGTAATATACTGTACATAACAATTTAGTTTTTGTACAATAAAACGTATATGTTTGTGAATGGTACACAAAAATAACAAAACGAGAATATTTTCATCATTTATCAAATAGTAAAAAAATATAAAATAATAAAACTTATCAAGTTCCCAATGTCCAAATTATTAGGTCAATGGTAGTTTACATTGTTAAAAGCTATAGAAAAGTTATTGAGTTCAATATTAATGATTCAATGGTTGATATAGATTTCAGTTATCTCTGAAATATATATAGATAAGTCTGAAATATATATGGACATTAGAGAAACCATTACAAGATGATACTTGGACTGAAGAATATCATGGATGAAAAATCTGTATCTAAATTATTAGGTCTATGGTAATTTACATAGTTAGAACCTTTCAAAAAATTATTGAATTCAATGTTGATTTAATGGTTAATATAGATTTCACTCATCTCTGGAATATATGGACACTGGAGAAACCAGTAAAAGATAGATATAACGAAGATGAACGCATACTTTGAAAACGTTTAATTGGATGGTGAAGAAAAATGACTGAAATGAATCTGGCAATTGAGGCCACTTAGTATTACAAAGCAACGAGAGAACAAAAAACAAAGATGAAAGTTCTCTTGAAAGGTTTATAGTACGTAGTTTTGTCTTTCGAAAGAGATTCATAAATGAGGATACCCAAACGCACTAAACACAATATCACAGAAGTATAGGGCACAGAAGTATAGGGTATCAGTCCAGTGGTCCCATCTGGTGCTCGCTAAGACATCCTCGAGTTCAAAACCTTGCAGCAAGTAATCATCAATTTGCAAATTAGTTTTGCGCTTTTCTCTAGTTTTCATAAAGATATAGGGTCAAAATAAAGATCTAGCGTTTGGTTAAGGGTTAATTTTGTGTACAATAGTAGTTATCTCCACACCAAATCACAATTACCAAACTCTAAACAAAAAGACAATTAGAAAATGTACCTCGGATTCATTCGCTTGACGCCAATGGATAAACGCCACCCGATCTGTAATCTCAAATGGCATATTCTCTCTGCTTTGAAATTTTGGCGATGGATCTTCTTCTTATCGATTTAGGTTTAGATATATATGCCTCTTTTATATAATAAGATTTTAAAAATTAATTAAGACAGATTTTATTAAAAATAAAAGAAAATACAAGACTTTTTTTTTGGTAAAAGAAAGAAACAAGACATGAATTGTTCTGTAGACCAAAACAATTAGGTTTTATTGTATCTAAAAAGCAAAGAAGCAAGCATGACTTGGCGAATGAAAAAGAAACTTATCAAATGATCAACTTATCAAATGTCGTCAAAACCCCAACTGTTTTCTTTGCGGATCTGTGCTTCTTCCTCGGGTGTGTAATCGTTCTCGACGTTAAAAAAAGTGCGAAGCTCTTCAACAGTTTTGGTTTCAATCACACGAGCAACTGTTTCGGTAATGAGATGAAAAAGGCTTTCGATTTTCAGATAATCAGCAGCAAGAGTCAGGTTCAAGAGCATGGATTCATCCACATTCTTCGCAAACTCAGTGTCCCAGTTCTTGAGCTCCTCAGAAGAGACACCATCACCATCAACCACGACGTGTTTCTTGCAATACTCGATCACTTTGGCGAGGATCTGGCCGGTGACGTTTTCAAGAAGGATTTCGTTACCGACACAGCTATCTTTAACTATGTGAGTTATGGTCGGCGACTGGAGAGCCACCGCTTCTTCAACTTCAACGGTCTCGCCATCTGAGCTCTTTAACACAATCTTCTTCTCCGACTTCGACATCGTTCCTTGTTTGTGAGGAGATTGTGAAAAAAGTTTGGATTTAGGATACTTTGATGTGATGAATGACACAAATTATGATCTATATTTATAGGATAATTAAGTTGGTGAATATGGAAATTAACATGTACATTATCTTGTGTTGACCAAACAAAAGATGCGAGGAAATATCATTATGGCCTCCCAAAGAAGGATAATTAAGTTGGTGAATATAGAAATTAACATGTACATTATTTTGTGTTGACTGTTGACCAACAAAAAGATGAAGGAAATATCGTTATTGCCTCCCTAACAAGGAAAAAGGAAGGAAAATGAAGAAGCGGACCACAACAATTGTATATGTGAGGAAATATGATTATGTTTTTATTTTTGCGTTTACAGGAAGGCTAATTCTGAGAAATTCATTAATCTCTTCAATTGAAAAAAAAAAAATCATTTATCTCATGAATTCATCTTTATGTTAGAAGAATAGATCTTTGGTTGAATGAATGAAATTGTAATTATGTAATTCCTGCGAAGCTCTTTGGATGTTTAACCGCTAAATTTGTGCGTGTCTTGTGTTTTGTTTTGTTTCAAATTCCTTGATCTTCAATATTCTAATTTGTTCCTTCTCGTTTAGGGTTTTGTTCCAAAATCAAATTACTCTTACTGAATATGATTGAGTTCCTTGGTTGCTATTTAAACAGAGTTTCCTAATTTCTTACGTGTCTCGCTTAGGGTTTAGTTCCAAAATCATATATATTTAGCTCTTTGTCGAGGTAAGTTTCCGTCTTTTCTTCGTGGATTTTGTTTCCACAATCTTCCATAATCAGTTTATTTCTCGTTTAGATTTCGATCCAAACGTCCAATGTTAATTCTTCAATTCTAGTCTTATCAACTAATCCTCCTATATGAAGTTTGGAACTAAGCAGAATCTTTTTTGAATGTCTTATAATGGTGTTACTAGGCATGTTCGAGAAGCTTGAGCCAAGGTTGTTTGACTTTCTAAATATCCCGATCCTTAAGGGTTAACTACACAAACATTCTACATGGAAGTAGCTTTTCTTTTTGTTATTTGGGGCATCAAATTAACAAAAGAAACGTACAAAGAAAGACTACTAATTAGCCATCAATTCTAACAACAGTAGACCTCACAAGTCATTGTCCAATAAGTTAATTGAAGATTACAGGTCATTGGTCGATATGGAGAACGTATATTGCGTTAAAAGCTTAGGATTTTAACCTAGGATTCTTTTTTCCTCTTCTTGAACGTTTGTTAGTACTTAGTTGTATTAACGCTAGCGGAGTGTTAAGTACCAGTTTTAACATAGTTGTATTTTGGCACAATTTAAAACCGTTTGGTGTTTAAGACTTTAATGATAGATTTTGAGCAATTTTTTTAAGTCCATTAGAAAAATGGAGTTTAACCTCACATATTCCTCTCCCTTATATGAAATTCTCATATACTCTTTCCATATCTATATTTTTTTTTGATTTTCTTTTTAATACAAAAGGGCATAAAAAGACCAAAAAACCATTAATGAATAACCAAATTACATATCCAATTCAGAATACCGGACTCAAACCAAGATCCAATTTAAATAACCAATTTAACCGAAATTATTAAACTAAACCAATTTAACTGTTTTAAACCATCCAATTTAATTAAACCAGAAAGCAAACCCTAAATCTATTCCCGATCCATCGTCTTCCTCTTCGATTCCGTTATCTTCTTCTGGATCCTCTTCTTCCATCCTCCATCATTTTCAGATTCTTAGATTCCATCATCTTCTTCCATCATTTTCGTCTTCTTCCATCATCTTCTTCCTCTTCAATTAAATCCCCACACTCTTCGCTCACCGCCACTCACTCTCCACTCTCCACTCTTCTGTTTTAGGCTCGTCGCCGTCGCCGTTTTAGGCTCGCCACCACCGCCGTTTCACACTTCCATCATCACCGAACAGGTATCTTCTAGGCTTAAGAGTAATTAAAACCTTAATTTATGATTTTCTTCCCTCAACCCTGAACCCGGACAACTGATTTCTGATTTTTGTTTCAAAATTTTTGGAGGATGTCGACTAGGGGTTCACCTTCTCAACCAGAGAGATCTGAGGCTGAGTATGCTATGGCATCAGAAGAAGGATTGGGTTCAAACTCAAATGTTGATCCATTACAACCGGTATGTAATTTAGTACAACTAGAATTATCGTGTACAAATGAGTTTTGCTTGTGGTCGAACGGTATGTAGTTTAGTACAACTGGAATTATCGCGTACAACTGATTTTTGCTTGTGGTTGAACGAAATGTAATTTAGTACAACTGGAATTATCGCGTACAACTTATTTTTGGTTGTGGTTGTACCAAGAATACTATTTGTACCAATACACTTATATTCACTTATCATATGCGTTTTGATTGCAGCAAGAGGACGTCTCAATACCAATGGAACCTCGAGGTTTATTCTTCAAGCAAAGCGAGTATCTCTTATACCCGAAGCTTCAATCAAGGTGTGAAACCTTTAATTTCATGGAAGTCTTCAAGAGGCTTGATATCTCAGAGAGAAACTGGTTTGAGAACCACCCACAATTCAAGCATATTGTCCACATGTTTATCCAGAAGAATAGAATGTTAATGGGAATGTGGATGTTGCTTCTCCGAACAGCAGTGACAGACAAGAAGCGGCAGTGTTGGTTTGTTGTGAATGGTGTGCCTGTTCGGTATTCAATCAGAGAACACGGCCTTCTTTCAGGATTATTCTGCCACCATTATCCAGCCGACTATGAGCAGTTAGGGAGTATGTATTTTGTGGAGGAGCAGTTTGGAAAGACTAATATTGAGTTGAAAGAGGTGCGTGAGAAGCTGGAATCAATGGATTTCATTGAAGGTGGTACTGATAGGTTGAAGATGGTTGTACTTTTCTTCTTAGCAACTGTCATCAAAGGAAAGTCCAAGAAATATGGTGGATCCATAGACCCATTCATTCTCCGAGTGGTGGATGATCTGGATCTGTGTGAAACGTTTCCCTGGGATCGTTTCACTTTTGATGACGTCTTAGCTGAGGTTGCACATCTGGTGGATCATTTTGGAGGATCTGTTCGAGGGAATTGGACTTTTCCGGGGTTCATATTGCCTTTAGAGGTAATGTTATATGTTTTAAATTCAGTATAACTTGTACAACTAAAAATAGTAGTATTAGTACAACTAGTATTCTTGGTTCAACTTGATATAGTGTATAGGTAGTAGTATTGGTACAACTCGTGTTTAGGGTACAACTAGTTGAACTGGTATTATTGGTAGAACTGGCATAACTAGTACGATTATATGTGCAGATTTTGGCGTTTGAATCTATCCCGGTTCTGAAAGAAGCATTTCAAGAAAAATTTTGGAATGCAGATGGTGATTGTCCAAGAATGTGCAAGTGGAAGTTTAAGAGAACAGGCAAAACAGGATTTTCTTTAGCTGATATTTATGAAGTGCTTGGAGATACAAAGGTTTAGGAGTCTCCTTTAATTTTATATTTTTACATTATTAGAGATTTAGTTTAATTTAATTTTTGTTTTTCGTTAAACAGGATATTATTAGTATCTTGGTACCTGAAGATGGAGAAGCTAAACTCTTGCTTGACATCCTAGACGAGCATGTATGGGATGACTTCGAAGTAGGAGAGGATGATGCTGTTTCTGACCCTGTTGTTGATAGTTGGCACACGATTTTAGTCCAACAAAAGAAGAAGATACACTTGAAGGATCTGTACCAATTAGATGTTAAATCCCGAGAAGACCAGCCATTGCCCAAACCGACAGATACTGAAGCGGTAGGAAGTGAGGATGTGTTGAAGAAGATGGAAGAAGGGTTTATAAAGATTAATGAGAAAATGGAAGAAGGGTTTAGGAAGATTAATGAGAAGGTTCATGAGATGGACACAAGACTGAAGTCTGTAGAAATGAAAATAGCTGATCAAAGGAGAGATTCTGATTTTATGGATTTTCAGTATGAAGAAGTGGGGAGAGTGTATGAAACAGGTGGAGGATCAAATGCAAGAGGTAAAAAAAGATATTTATTTCTTTCCTTTATTAAGTGTATGTTCAAAAAAAATTTTACATTTATTTTGCAATGTACGTGATAAGGGTATGGAGGAGACAACGAACACACCTGTAGAGGAGACCACAGATGCACCTGCAGAGGAGACCAGGGACGCACCTGCAGAGGAGACCAGGGACGCACCTGCAGAGGAGACCAGGGACGCACCTGCACCTGTACCTGCGGAGGAGACCACAGACGCACCTGCACCTTCAGTGGAGACCACAAACGCACCTACACCTGTAGTGGAGACTCCTGAACCACCAGCAAAGAAACCACGCTACAAAATTTGTATGCGGAAGAGTGCTGAGGCTAAAAGGACGGCTGAGATCATTAGGAGTAGGAGAAAAGGTAAACCATCGAGGCATATATCCACTCCTTTCGAAAATGATGCACCAGCACAAAGGAAGAAATGAGAGGCTGCAAAAAAGAAGTAGAAGAAACAAGTTTGTTTTGGTTTTTGTTGAAACTAGTTATTGGTTTTTGGTGAAACTAGTAGATGGTTTAGGTTGAAACTAGTAGGAGGTTTATTGTTCTATGTTTGGTGAAACAGGTACAACTGGTATGTTGGAACTAATAGAAGGTTTATTGTTTTAATTTAATTATGTTTTCAGATTTTTTTGGTTAGTACAACTGGTTTTATCGCGTACAACTAGTGTTGTTGAAACTAGAACAAAAAGAATTTTTCACGCCCAAAAAATTTGAAAAAATAATAAAAAAAATAAAAGCCACATGTGCGCCGTCAAATTACACGAGCGCCGTCAAATTACACGAGCGCCAGCAAAATAATATACAAAGTTGGGGTAAGTTGTATTCTATTTTTTTTATTACACAGAGTTGTACTTTCATAGATAAAACGATTTTATTAGTTATATCGTACTAGAAATTACATTTTTATAGTTGTACTTTTGAAAATAGGTAATAATAAGACATTTAAGACACAT